GCCGGCGGCAGCCGGGTCCGGGGGTGGGTGGTCGCACGCTCTCGGCACGAGCGGGGTTGGGATGGACGGCTCAGCCCCTTCCCCCCAAGCGAAGGCCGGGGACGGTTTCTTTGCGCTGTTCCCAACCACGTCGTCGTCGTCGTACCGCCCGGACGTGCCGCCGGCAGCGTCCCACTGCCGGGAGGTCAGCTTTGCGCGGCACGCGGCGGCGGGGAGCTCTGGGCTGGTTTCTCCTGGCGATGGCTGGGATGGCACCTGGAGCAGCGTCGCTGGGGTGCTGGGCAGGGAGAGGAGTCACTGTCCCTTCCCCCAGCGCGGCAGGGCGGGGGAGACGTTGGCTGTTCCTTCCCGTTGTACAATGTCCCTTCCTGGGTGGATGGGGCAGAGCTGGGCTCTCCCTGGGGACGGCTGCGCGGCGGGGTGGCAGGGCCAGGGGCAGCTCCTGCTCCAGGCTGCGCCGGTGAAGCTGGCTCCTGGCGCAGAGGGAGCCGGGGGAGAAGGTCCTGGACCACCACACCCACGTCCTTCTGCCCTGTGGCTTCAGCAAAGCTTCTTCAGATGGGGGCTGGCATCTCTTCCTCCCCACCTTCCTCTGCTGGTGCTGCAGCCCGAAGGCCCCTGCAAGAGATGCCCGCAGCGGCACGTGGCACGGTGACGTCCTCGTCTTGCCAAGGGCCTGCTCCGTGCTGGTGGAAGGGCAGCGGCCGGCTTGGGAGGTGGGGCAGCGGGTGCTTCGGGTTGGGCTGGTGCTCCTTAGCTGTGTGTTTTCCCCACTGTCTCCATCCCACGAACCCAGCGTCGGGCAGAAACGCTTCCTCGCCTCGTTTGCTGGCTGCGTTTCCTGGAGCATCAGTGAGTCGGACTTCTCACCCCTTCTGGAGTCATTTGGTTGCCAAATTTCATCTACTATTATTATTATTAAAAAACAAAAGAAGGTTTCCCAGATGGGATGACAGGCAAGAACCTCTGTTTTTAATAAGCCTGAAAACCCCGGCCTCGCTGCCGCAGCCAGCGCTTTGCGTCAGAAACCCCCGGAGAAGCCGTTCAGCAAAAAACGAGTGGTCCTTTCTGGTCCAAGTGACCCATTTGGCCACGTGCGAACCGCTGGCTCCTCGCTGCCTTCCCTCCTCGTGCCGCTGCAGGGAGCATCGCAGCAGTGCCGGGTGCTGTGCCCGTGCCACGTGCAAGGACTGGCTGGCCCGCAGAGCATCCCCGGGCTCTGCCCAGCGGGTGGGCA